GATTGACTGAGATGAGTAGTTTTTGACACCACTCACATCAACCAATATTGCTTGCCAGTCAGTTCATTGAAGTGATCTGAACATCAGATGACCTTTTCGCCACTTTAGGGCCGAGTTCATCAGTAGTGTACCAGGTTTGACTCAACTTACAGAACTGATGGAAGAATCAGTGTTGCTCTAGAGCTCTAATAAATTGTCCTTTATTTATAAATCTTATAACATCACCAACAGCAACAACAACAACTGACAACAACCAGCATAAATGGGAGGCACCTGAAAGAAACAACCTCTTTTACCTACCTTGGAAGCATCGTTTCAACTACAGGCGGAACTGACGAGGATATCAAAGCAAGAATCGGAAAAGCAAGACAAGCTTTCACTACTCTCAAGTCTGTGTGGAGGTCAACAGCACTCAGCATCAAAAATAACATCCGGATTTTCAACTCCAATGTGAAGTCAGTCAGTGCTACTCACTATACGGATCAGAGACTTGCACTGCGCGTCATAAAGAGCATCTCGAACAAACTACAGACCTTCATCAACAGTTGTCTTTGCTCAGTACTCAAGATCAGAAGGCCAGCCAGAAAAGATCAGCAACAGGGATCTCTGGCAATGAGCGAACCAACCCAACTGATTGTGAAACAAATAGGCAGTAAGAAATGGAGATGGATTGGCTGGCCATACTCTGAGGAAACAATCCATCAAGTGACATCACTAGACAAGCCATCACTCGAGTGGAACCCGAAAGGGAAGCGGCGAGTTGGTCGTCAGTGCAAGGGTGACTTGGAGGAGGTCATGTGAAGAGGATATGAAAGTATGTGGGCAGACATGGAGCCAGGTGAAGACTCTAGCAGAGAACCGAACGCAATGGAGACGCTTGGCTGAAGCCCTATGTTCCTGTAGGAATTAAAGGATACAATAATAATAATAACATCTGAACAGTAGTAATATGAGGTGAAGCAACTGTCCAGTGCACCCTAGTTTTAACAATTCCCTAATAGATAGCAATTAGTGTTATTCCTTAAAACCAGTTGAATGCCTTTAAATCAAAACTGATCTGTATTTTTAGGTTTCATGCAAAAAAAGTGGGTTGATGTTTTATTCATCATTTTGAGGATTGCTGAATATATATGTAAATTACTGTTTGATTCATGTGCAATTCAATTTCGTGCAATTCAGTATAATTAAAAGGAAAAGGAATTAAAGTAATATGCTGGGTGGTGACTAGCAGTAGAATCCATCAGGATGTGCACTTTATCCTGTTAGAGACATTTCAGTTGAAGAATCTACCTCTAGCCTCCAGTGAGTGGTGGTGTTCTCACTGATACTCGAGGAATGCAGGCATGTCTAAGTGACGAGTACCAACTAGGAAGAAATACTTATTCTGATGGATCCCACTTTCAGTCACCATCCACCATATTATTTCAAGTTAGTCCTCAGATATCGTTGATCCATCCACAAAAGGAGCCGACTTGTCAACGAAGGTCAGACATTTCGGCTGAGTCAGTCAACAGAAAAATCAAAAGTGAATTAAAATTTTAAAAATGTGATTAACTTTAAGAATTAGTTTACATGACATTGTCCGAGACTTCTATAATTTATAGAAAACTTTATTTTTCTCCAGTTTTCAACAGAGAGGACTGGTATATATGTAATAGAAATTATGAAAAGGGTAAATTACTATGGGATCTTTCTTGTGTCACATTTATTTATGTAGATGTTCAACACTTTTGTTTTTTTTCAAAGTAAAGGCCTGAATCATATGATGACTATAAGAAACCACCTTGAAATCTTCATAATGTAAATGACCACTGATTTCACAACAAGATTACTATAGTTAGCTCCGTGGGTCGCTTTTTAAACCTTCCAAAACTCTCAGTCTTTGTTTCAAGTTCGACCACTGATTGATATCAGTGGCTGAATAGTCAATCAGCTTGGCCTCGTAACTTGAAGGCCCTGGGTTTGGTCTCTGGCTGTTGGTGCGTACTGATGATGAGTCCCAAACTAGGACAAAACAGCTAACCAGTAATCTCAGGTTTTCCACCGGTTCTCTAACCGACGTAAATCTGCGATTAAACCTGAAAGTAAACAAACCGCTGAAAATCAGCACTTGAAAATAAAATTACACCTAATCGAATAATGCCTTGGTAGAGTGCTGATCAAAACATCCTTACAATCTGAATGGAGTGAACATAATAATTTATTTACTAGCATACAACATTCACTCTATTCATGCGCAAGCGTACATAATCTCAGTAAGAAAATAAAAGCACCATTAAGTTAGGCATATTAAATCACAGTGAAAAAAAATAATAATAACCATATGACATCATCATTAAACCAAATAATAAACAATATTAATTTCAGTGTCTGTTTTTCCTTTTTTTCAATTTTTCTATGTCATAAAGGTGAGATTTCACATCACACATCAAAGTTAAGTGTGCATAACAGTTACTGGCCAACTGACTGACTACATAATATGTACATTTGCGTAGACACTTATCGTTTCAAGCTACCATAATTTAACACAGCATACGTGAAAGAGAATAATAAAAGTGAAACAGACAGGAGACAGTTATTTATGACAGAAGGTCTAGTTGTACGCGAATTATTAACGTTTGCAATATGAAAGACGACATGATGAGTGCACCAGCTGCAATGTAAACTTATTCCAGCTACTTCACAAATACTGTTCAACCACTGTTTCTAGTGCATTGTGAGGACGTTGCCTAACAACTAATACTTACCTGTGTGATTTGAACCAACAGCTTATGACTTTATCGATGGAACTCGGATACAAAAGTCTTATCTGGAATTTCTCAACCTGTGTCATTTCTGCCATAGACGTGATATCCAGGTGTCTACCAGAGGGTGTGTTAACTTATAAGAGTTCTCTCTGTGCTTCTCTATGACCATGAGACATTCTGTTGAAAGTGAAATATATGAAGAAGTTAGTTGTCCTTGTGTTCAAACTTCAGTATCAGGTAGTTTATCGTGGTCAGTAATGGTAATGTTAAGTGCAGAGTGTTAGGTGATGGCAGGAAGTCAGTCGACGAGACTGTGAAACTTCATTGATTGAGACGACTAGAAAACACGTGTTATTCGTGCAAAACCATCGTCTTCCTCGTCCAATAATGTTGACTAACGTAGGGTATAGTTGAGAAAGGGTTAAGCGGTGAACAAACCAAAACTAGGCATCAGTTCGTTAGGTCCTTAACTGTTGGTTTAGGTCAATCATACGTGGCTGGAGTCCTCAAGATGCGAGAAATAATGAATGGGAACTGTTGGCTCAAAGTCGTACTCATTGGTGCAGACGCAATTACTTTTTGTGGTGTCACCAACCCATTAAATTTTCACTATTCCCTATGTAATTATTTCCTCTTGTAAACATTTTCATTTTTCTCAGATGTTTTGTAATTCTGTTTTGTACTTTATGTATGCTTTATAAAGCATGGAAACTTGAATCGCTAGGTTTTAGTGCAACGTACTGTGATGAAAATTCAGTTCAGCAATGTTCTGTGTGACTGCCTATGACTGCTTTATAGCCTAATCTCATTTTACTTGAAACTGCCCATGACTAAAGACAGTGTGACATATTTTTATATCACCGCAATCAATAAAGATCCATAACCCTACCAAATAACCTATCTCCTTCAACCAGCATCATGCTTTGAATATTCAAACTTAATTACTACTGTTTCAAACAAAGCTATTGATTGCATAGATACAGCTGTGGTCAAAAACCTCAATGTTTTCACATCTTCTACTTCCATTGACCATGTTATGTAAACATATATTAAGAAAAGTGGACTGCTCTGCAGTACCTACGCTATTTGAAGGATGGCACCATGAGTTGACGAGTGCCAGGCAAGCCTTCAGTATTCGTGCTTAGATTTCGCCAGCACATTCAGTCGTTTCTCTGCCTGTAGTTTGACTGGAAGCTGGTGGAGACCAGTTTCTCTCCAAAATCCCAAGTTTTATGGGAACCAATTTCACAGGAAATCCAGTTTAGTTTTAATCCAACATGTTTTTAAGTATGTATGCTGTCAGCATTCTTGCTTTACAGGGTTTTATCATCCGATTAATCTATGCTGACTGTTTTCCCCCAGCAGAAATTCCCTTAGACATCGATATTAAACGGACTCACTTTCATCTGTGAGTCTACACTAAACGTAAACAGGATCAGTAACATTGGGTAACTTCAGAGAACAGTACACATAGTCGTCGCTTCAAACAACACGGATACTTGGGTTAGTGTACCGTAATTTATTGGCACTTCACTCAAAACCAAATATTCCCACAACATTTGTCAGTCAAAAAAAGCCAGATGTCACCTTTAGCTAAAGAAATAGGGTATTTGTCAGAGGCTAAAATTATACCTGTGTTACACAGCTTGTTTAGAACTTGATCTCTGACTCGTTGTCCAAGCATGAGGCTTACTCGTTTCTTACAGGTTTATTCTCTCCGACTCTGCCTAGCTTCTACATGACTTCAATTACAGACGTTAGATCTTAGATACTACCATGTTAATAGTTTAATATCAGCCAGACTGATTCGCCTGTAGTTAGTCCTGTGCAGTTTGTCTTAACTTACACAGAGTGAAATGGGCAGTAACTGTGATAGAACCTACTTAGATAATAATACGTTAACTAATGCACCATCCAGCTCGTCAAAACTCCTTAAACACCACCTTTAAACACTTCTAGAGTTTATTCGTCATGTCTTTCTGTACTGTCTTGCTTCAGGCTACAGAAAGTATCTGCGGCCTCAGTTAGAGGGGAGCGGTGGATGTCTACATTCCAACACAGGATAGCTTGTATGCTAGGCAACTCATATATGTTTAAAGATTCCATAGGCTTTGAACAGGTTACCAAATACTGACATCATTTAGTGACCCAACTGTTAAAAGAGTTTCTATAATAACTAAAAATTATAATGAAATGGTAGAATGTCTAACTTTGTAATAATTTGAAGATAATGATGTGGTTATTTAAACATACTTTGATAACATTGAAATGGCCCATCCATCAACGGCTATATCTTGTGTTGCTGCAAAAAACATGAGCAAGAAAAATGCTGCCGTTATTTGGGGAATTTCAACTGGATGATCAGAACCAAATTTACTCCAGAGATTGGTTGGATCTCGCCCAAACCATTCATTAATATAGCTTGCCATGACGATTAGCTCAATTCCTATTGCATACTGGGTTATTATTAGCCAAGTCTTCCGCCGGCCGATGAATTTGCAGTAGACCGAATCAACTATCGGTGCCCAAAGGAGTTTGAAAGAGAAAGGATAATGATTCAGTGAGAATGCTGCCAACGCCCCGTAATCTGCACTGCGAAGACTTGATTGAAAAAGCAGAGGGATGGACGCAGAAATTCCAAGAGGGATTCCCTAAGAAGGAAAAAGTATATTTCCAGATAATAATAGCTGATTTTGAATGATTAGACCGAAGATGAACACAGTAATTAACTGCAGAAAGAGGAGTAAAACAACTTTCGCCTGAGAACTGATCATGGATCAGTAATAAGTACATAATCTCCAAATGTTTTGTGTACATTTACATTTTAGACTGCGATTTTCAACCTCACTAATTGTTTCTTTACTACCAGTAGTTTACAATAATCCAGAGTTCCCACTATATGTCCATAAAAGACGAACAGTGTGAATATCTTTGCGAAGAATATGACATGAAATTTACAAATCATTTTGGTCAAGAAGTCCACCGTAAATCACCTGATGAAGCACATGACAACAACAAGCTAATTCTTGAGAAAAGATAAAAATACCTTAAACATTTTTTTAAAGAAGTACCTTGGCTAAACGCCTGACAAACCACTTCACACAGTGTTATCTAATAGGCCTTAAAACTGCAACGACAACCAGGATCAGAATGATCTTATTTCAGGGTTTTGATCAGCTTCAAACCTTTTAATTAAGGCCAAAGTAGTCAAACGTCACAGCACAGTCCTAAAATCGTCGTTTAAACAATTGAAAATCACTAAGGTTTCCATCGTTGTTTCCATTTATAATATAGAGGTAGGCAATGGTCATATTATTGTCTAAATAATCATATTTGAGAACCTCAGATGTAAATTGTGGGTAATTTGAATAAGAAAAATACGGCAACGAAGTTAAAAGTTACCTTAGTGCAAAGATGAATCAGATCCGTGTCTGTCCGTAGGTCTATGTTTATAACTTTTGAGACATAAGTTGAACTGCCTGTGAAAGCAGATGAGGTGGCTTATCTAACTTTCCCAAATGTTTCTAACCTCCTTAAAATGGCACGAAAACAGTGTAAACAGATGTCAGGTCCTGTGGAAAACATGATATGCTACTTACCACTTGTTGTTATCAGGAAGTATGTTAACTGGTTAACTCTCAATAACTATGCAGATTTATCAAACAATAACTTCTCTAAGACTTCGCTTGATTTATGTTAACTTTTTATCCCTAAAGATTTATTTACGAACATACAAGGGAAAGTATTTCTGACCCACTGTGGGACCAACCAAAAGAGAAACGAATAAGCGAGTTATTATACACGATCAAGTTTTGCGAAGGGCGAATATTTATATCTAATTTTTCCTTAATGCTAATGTTCAATAATATTTTGGCTTGCCTTGTAAATCACATGTCACTTAATTTAACTTTAGCATCCCATCAAACTGTGCCACATTCCAACTAAGCATGAAAAGCAGAGCGAATAAGCCTGACCAACGAAGAAATGATTGATAATTGTAATTCTGCAAAGTACAGGAATCATCCTTACGGGAACCTAAATAAACACAAGTGGAGACCCTAAACTCTTACACTTTTATGGGGTACAAGTTATAAAATCACACAACAATAAGGACAAGCAAACAAATTGAAAGACAGTTTAGCCTTTTAGTGACAAACTAAATAAAGCGGTAGAGAATTCAGGACTTTAATGTTCGCCTTTCACTTAAAACTTGAAAATGTATGGCTACTAATTACCTTTGAAAAGGTGAAATCTATCTTCTCAATAAGATGATGTCAAATTTGAAGAGAATTCTTTGTGAAAAGTCAGGGGATATTCATAAGCTAATAAAAATACGTCGGTGATGCTACTAATACCAAGTACTAAAGCAACTCAGTTAGAGAATGCACATAGGCGCAAAAGTAAAACCTAAGCTAAACATGACACAGAAGTCGGTTTTAACTGCATGTCTCATTTAGGGTTAGGTACTGTATTACTGTTAATGTTGTAAATTACAATATGTACGTCATTTTAAACCAACCTGGAATATATATAGAAAAATCAAAACCAAAATCTTTGAGGTATCCTTCGAATGAATTAAAATTTGCTGAAGTTTTCGCTTAACAGAACTTAACATTTTGTTTTCTTTAGTTCGTATAGCGGGATCAAATGAACATTTCAAAACAAGTGCTCGTATTCAATAGCCAATATTCAATATCCAATATCGTTTTTCCGAGAGCTAACCTTAAATATTGTAGTTACCCATTTTATTACTCATAATCGTACCATACTTTCATTTTGTAATTGTACTTTGATTTGTTTATTACTCTAAATCTTGCATGTTAACAATTGATACTTTTTGTACTCGCTCGATTTTCGAATCTTGATTGCTGCAATAATACACTATCGTATTCCTTCGCAAGTGCCTTTTGAATTACGTTGCGGATGTCGAGTAATCGCAACGTTAGGTCACAAATATAAACGCGAAGAAATACTAGAAGATACGTGTACTCTGGTTCAGTCAAAATATAGCAGCAGCAACAAATTGGCGAGCCCGACATAGCTGATTGATGGACTACATCATTTCGAAGTATACACAGTGGAATAAATCATCTTTGCCGTCGCATTAACTTTTATAACTTCATAACATTTGGATTTATAATTACTGATATTTCTGCTAAAAGTACCTCCGGACCTGGCGGCACAGCGACTGCTATCCCAGTTCACCCTGATACTCAAGCAGCTGTAGCAGCTGGCTGTTATGCAACACCTCAATTCCAGTTCTCTGTCCTCAAGCTTCAGCATTGTCTACAGGTGTGCAAACACCCTTACAATGGTCTGCAACTCCATTTGCTCAAGCCGGTCCTACAGCTGTTCAATTGCAACAACAGCTTACCCAATCACCTCAACAACAACAGATTCAAGCACAAGCTCATCAGTTACAACCAGCTCAACAGCAAGCTTATATCCAACAACATCAGCAACAAGCAGCAATGATGGCAACTGACGTCTCTGTCAGTGGTCAACCTTTTACTGTAGCTGCACGCTCCTATGCTACTCCCCAGTTTATCATTCTGGCACCAGGAGCTCCATTAAAAGTCATGACTGTTGGTCCTAACGGTCAGCTGATTCAAATCACTAGTTTACCACAGTTTATGCCAACTGCTCTTGTTTGAATGGCTATCAATCAACCAACTTCTACTCTCCAACCTCAGCAAACATCAATTCGAGTACTCCTCAACGCCGAGTAACAACACCCCAGCAACAACAACAACATACTGACGGACGTTCACTTTCAACCGTATCAGCAGCAGCAGCTACTGCTGCACTCTTCTCTGGCACAGGCATCTCTTCTTGTACAATTCCACTTGTACAACCAGCTTTCATGGAAATAGAGGTAACTGAATGTTTACCCAAGTCATTCCCATACTTCCTTATTACTATACTGTTAAATGTATGTTAAGATATAAATATATTCTGTAACTCCTTACAATAACAACCTCATTATTATTCTAATAATTTTTCTGGATTTATTGTTACATGTTGCACAACTTTCTAAACATTTTGGTTCGTTTCAAAGTTGTTAACATTTTCGAATATATACAGTTATAATCGAACCTCAGAAAACTAAAAAGCCTCAATTCGGTTTTCATATTTTTTTTGTCCTTGTAATTTACAATATCATTCCGAATACAGGTAAACTTCATTTACCTGCATTCTACGGAGGGGCTATTGTAGTGACCCATTTTATTACTCATAATCGTACCATACTTTCATTTTGTAATTGTACTTTGATTTGTTTATTACTCTAAATCTTGCATGTTAACAATTGATACTTTTTGTACTCGCTCGATTTTCGAATCTTGATTGCTGCAATAATACACTATCGTATTCCTTCGCAAGTGCCTTTTGAATTACGTTGCGGATGTCGAGTAATCGCAACGTTAGGTCACAAATATAAACGCGAAGAAATACTAGAAGATACGTGTACTCTGGTTCAGTCAAAATATAGCAGCAGCAACAAATTGGCGAGCCCGACATAGCTGATTGATGGACTACATCATTTCGAAGTATACACAGTGGAATAAATCATCTTTGCCGTCGCATTAACTTTTATAACTTCATAACATTTGGATTTATAATTACTGATATTTCTGCTAAAAGTACCTCCGGACCTGGCGGCACAGCGACTGCTATCCCAGTTCACCCTGATACTCAAGCAGCTGTAGCAGCTGGCTGTTATGCAACACCTCAATTCCAGTTCTCTGTCCTCAAGCTTCAGCATTGTCTACAGGTGTGCAAACACCCTTACAATGGTCTGCAACTCCATTTGCTCAAGCCGGTCCTACAGCTGTTCAATTGCAACAACAGCTTACCCAATCACCTCAACAACAACAGATTCAAGCACAAGCTCATCAGTTACAACCAGCTCAACAGCAAGCTTATATCCAACAACATCAGCAACAAGCAGCAATGATGGCAACTGACGTCTCTGTCAGTGGTCAACCTTTTACTGTAGCTGCACGCTCCTATGCTACTCCCCAGTTTATCATTCTGGCACCAGGAGCTCCATTAAAAGTCATGACTGTTGGTCCTAACGGTCAGCTGATTCAAATCACTAGTTTACCACAGTTTATGCCAACTGCTCTTGTTTGAATGGCTATCAATCAACCAACTTCTACTCTCCAACCTCAGCAAACATCAATTCGAGTACTCCTCAACGCCGAGTAACAACACCCCAGCAACAACAACAACATACTGACGGACGTTCACTTTCAACCGTATCAGCAGCAGCAGCTACTGCTGCACTCTTCTCTGGCACAGGCATCTCTTCTTGTACAATTCCACTTGTACAACCAGCTTTCATGGAAATAGAGGTAACTGAATGTTTACCCAAGTCATTCCCATACTTCCTTATTACTATACTATTAACTGTATGTTAAGATATAAATCTATTCTGTAACTCCTTACAATAACAACCTCATTATTATTCTAATAATTTTTCTGGTTTTATTGTTACATTTTGCACAACTTTCTACACATTTTGGTTCGTTTCGAAGTTGTTAACATTTTCGCATATATACAGTTATATAATCGAACCTCAGAAAACTAAAAAGCCTCAATTCGGTTTTCATATTTTTTTTGTCCTTGTAATTTACAATATCATTCCGAATACAGGTAAACTTCATTTACCTGCATTCTACGGAGGGGCTATTGTAGTGACCCGTTTTATTACTCATAATCGTACTATACTTTCATTTTGTAATTGTACTTTGATTTGTTTATTACTCTAAATCTTGCATGTTAACAATTGATACTTTTTGTACTCGCTCGATTTTCGAATCTTGATTGCTGCAATAATACACTATCGTATTCCTTCGCAAGTGCCTTTTGAATTACGTTGCGGATGTCGAGTAATCGCAACGTTAGGTCACAAATATAAACGCGAAGAAATACTAGAAGATACGTGTACTCTGGTTCAGTCAAAATATAGCAGCAGCAACAATATCACGTTCTAGAATAGCTGTTAAAATTTCACTTGGAAACATTTTTGTCAATGATTTTCAATAAAATTGTGTTATATGTTATCTGGATTGATGGGAATTCCTTTTTTATGGCCAGTTATTTTCTTTTCCGCGTCATGTAATCCGACTGCGACACCCCCTAGCATATTGTTTGCAACGATCAGTGTTTCAGGCTGACTGAAGCCAAATATCGCTATAATGAGGAAGATGCGATAGTTAGAGGGTAGTGTTTACTTCATGTAGAAGCTGCAGCTTTAAGCATCGTATCATTCACTGAAGACTTCACCTCTCAGAATGTGAATGTGGTTATTTTAGCGTGAAGAACAGTACCATTTGACAAAAGAATGCTATCAGTACATGGGAGTCACCTATAAATGATAACAGAACCTTCTGTGGGAATAGAAGTAATCATGTAGATGTGTCTCATCGTATATGTGTTTGGACAGGAATTATCGTAAGTCGAGAGGTTATTTCTAAGTGTGTTTCATGTATATTTGCACTTTTTGGCGTAGCGTTATATGAGTTATGTGGACTCAATGTATAAAAAATAACTCAACTTTATTAATATTGTGCCATTGTCTGCTTAACTGACTGCTTGGGCAGCAAACGTAGGTGGTTGTCATGATTATTGCAAGTGCAGTGCAGTGGAGGAGGCAATCACTCGTTTAAATTTCCTTACTGTGTCACTTAGTGCATTAATTCAGTGTATAGTATCATTATACGCATGGATTGTGTTGATTATGAGAACTGAATCTAGTCAGCTCTATTACTATCCATCTACTGTCTGTTATGCCATTCTCACTGGCACTGTAAACTTAAAGCTGCAACGTTTTTGATTACCAATAGTGGTGATGAATTTTTCCCGAATTTTCCATTAACATGAAGCAGTACAGATGCCGCATCACGACTGAAAGTTTAGGTTGCATTATATATCATTGTTATCCTCATCAACACAACAGGTCTGCGTATCTTACAATATTTCAAGTTTTTTCTCTATGTTGCTGACACTGTGCATAGCCGTTCAGAGTTGAAGCATGTTCAGCTTATATTTGGTGGCTACAGATTCCTTAATGTGAGAATGTAATTTCTGTAGGATTCATAAAACTATGCTCATTAGGCATTACTGAGATTATGGATCAATTTCTAAGTTACACATTTGCAATACTTCATTTAATGTAAGCGTGGTTAGCGTGAAGTTGATCTGTAAGTAATCAACAGTATGGATGCTTCAGATATTGTCTTGAAATTTGCGTATAATCCTCTTATGCTGGAAAACAACTGAGGTATATTTATGCAAACGGCGTCAGTATAAAAACCAGCTGTGGACTACAAATACTTTTATTTGCATGAAAACTTTGCTTAGTATTAATAGAATAATAATAATTTGCTTTATTCTGGAAACATTACTAGTGGTACAGTGTGGAATTTTCAGCACAGTGTATTCAGATTGTATACTAATATATAAAATTATCTTTCGTAAATTCATGTTGTGCTAGTACTTACATGTGCTTAATTTTTTTCAGGTATACGGAGGTTGGCAAATATGAAATCAGCGGAAATATCATTCGGCCAAACTAACGCTAATACCACTCATCGGGGTTTTCTTTTGTACATTGATGAAATCTTCAATATAATATAATATACATTTCCTATCAATGTAGGACACACCAGTT